CATTACAACACAAAGAATTAGTGGCTATTCCTGTCTGGTCACTAATAAAAATGCTATTAGGGACCACAACTTTGGTCACTAAAGTGCTTACAATTTGGTCACCAAAACATGCATTTTGGTCACCACAACTTTCGTCATTGTACAGTTTCCAGCTTGTAATTGTTATTATTACCACCTCCAATCAAACTATTATCATATATGCTCTCTGTCTGTATATGCCGGTGGACCGGTGGTGTGCTGCTATTAGCTAGGTTTGGCTTCCATTTCTTGTGTAGAGTGCCTGAGCCAATTATAAGAGCATTTCCAGCAAGGGGACCTAGGGGGGGGGGGGGGGGGCAAGCCCAAAATGCTGTTTCCAGCAACAAAAAGTGGCCCGGGCAAGGAGTTGGACCCAGCGAACTGGGCTAGCCCGAGCGCCAACCCGAGTTTTGGAGATGATGTCAGCCCAGGCGTTCAAATTTTTTTAACATTGGCACGTGTAGCACACACGCCAACGTTAAAAAAAATTTGACGCGCCCGCTACAGTTCCCCAACGGCTAGCTTCAACGTGGCGCGCGCTGGGCTCTCCGATCTGATGTTTTCCAGCAATCCAACGGCAATCAATTTTTGTGCAATAAAAATTGAAAAAAAATCGAAATTTTTTTAAAATAAATACTGAATTTGTTTTCTATAAATACCAACCAATACTCTTCACTTTTAACACCAAATCCTCATACATTTTCTTCTCCTTCTACTCAATATTTTTTTTCACTTTCGAGTTGTATTTTTCTCTATCATATTATGGGTTCTTCTAATGAAACCGGAGGGGCATGGAGCACGATGGAAGATGTTTTGTTGTGTGAGTGTTGGGTCCAAATTAGTCATTGTCCCGTAACGGGCAATGAGATGAAATTCTGTCATATGTGAAAAAAAATTCATCAGGAATTTTGTGAAAGGGCAATTGGTTCAACCCGTACTGAAATGGCATTATCTAGTAGGTGGAAAATTCTTAATAACGAGTTGGCGAAATGGAGAGATGCCTTGCCAAAAGTGATGGACAACCATAGAAGTGGGGAAAATCTTAGCAATGAGGTAAATTATTTGTAATTTTCATTTTATTAATTTATATGTCATATTAATTTTTAGGGTATACTAGTGATTTGCCCCCTAAACTTGTACCTAATTTTTAATTAACCCCCTATTCTTTTTTTTTTAGAAAATTAAGGATATGAACTCTTTTTTTTGGCCAATTTCCCCCCTCCGTCTAAATCCACAACATTTCATCCAATTTTTCGTTAAATATGAGGGCAAATTGGTCATTTCCATATGAAAATAAAATAAAATAATTTGAAATTTGAAATAATAATAATAGAAATAAAGTTTATAAATAAATAAAAACCTCACCTTCCATATCTCTTTGTCTCTCTCTGTCTCTCCCACTCTCTACAATCCCTTCTTCCCCAAATCAACCACAGCCACAGACGCATACACCATGAATGGAAGACCAACCTCTGCTCCTACGTGGGACCCAACCTCCGAGCGCGTGAAGAAGCTACAATTGGAGGAGGAGGACGGTGCGAAATGGGTTTGGGTCTGTGGGTGGGGATAAGGTTTTCATTTTGGGTTTTTTGGATGTGGGGGTTGATTGCAGGTGGGGAAGGGGGTGGATCATTGGCTGCTGTGATGGCATTGGACTAGTTAAGTTGAGGGATAGGGAGGAGTTGTTTTGTGTCA